CTCTGAGCTGGCAGCACAGAGCCCGACGCGGGGCTCGAACCCACAAACCGCGAGATCATGACCTAAGTGAAAGTCGGACGCTTAACCGACTAAGCCACCCAGGCGCCCTAGATCTAAGATTTATTGATTGATTGATTGATGGTTCTCCTTTCTGTGAATTCAAAGTTGCATTTATTATTTAAAAAAATTTTTTAGAGTTTATTGTGAAGTTGGTTTCCATATAGTACCCAGTGCTTATCCCAACAAGTGCCCTCCCCCATGCCCATCACCCCCTTCCCCTCTCTCCCACCCCTATCAACCCCCAGTTTATGCTCCGTATTTAAGAGTCTCTTATGGTTTGCCTCCCTCCCTCTCCTTAACTATTTTTCCCCTTCCCCTTCCCCATGGTCCTCTGTTAAGTTTCTCCTGTTCCACATATGAGTGAAAACATATGGTATCTGTCCTTCTCTGCCTGACTTATTTCACTTACATAACACCCTCAAGGTCCATCCATGTTGCTACAAATGGCCGGATTTCATTCTCTCTCATTGCCATGTAGTATTCCATTGTATAGATAAACCACATCTTCTTGATCCGTTCATCAGTTGATGGACACTTAGGCTCTTTCCATGTTTTGGCTATTGTTGAGAGTGCTGCTATGAACATTGGGGTACATGTGCCCCTATGCATCTGCACTCCTGTATCCCTTGGATAAGTTCCTAGCAGTCTAACACTGTTTTGATTCTTGGTATCATCACCACCTGACAAATGTAATATATTTACTTATTGTCTGTCCTCCCCACTAGAATATAAGCTCCGTGAGGCAGGGGCTTTGCACAGAGCTTATATGGGCATTCAGGCCATAAATAAGCAGTTGGTAAATATTTGGTGAGTAAATCTTGTGTCAGAGTATTTTTACCTGAGTTATTTGATTTAATCCTCGTAAAAAACCACTTGGGAGTGAATACCATTTTTATTCCAATCTATGGATGAAAAAATGGAAGGCCCGGGAGGTCAAGCACTTGCCCTGGGTTATGCCCTGGAGGAAGAGTTGGCTGGAGATCTCGCCCTAGTTCTCTCTGACTCCACAGGCCATGCGTGTTCTGCTATAGCGGGTCTCTATAAACGGGGGGTTTGAAGTTGTACTTGCCACACACGGTAATTGTAAGGATACAATTGTAAAGATATAACACGAGTGTGTTTTATGAACTGTAAAGCGCTGTACAGATACGAGAACTATTAATATTATTGCCATAATTATACGTACCATTTATTAAGACTTACCGTGCACCAGCCCGAGCCCCGTATCATCCTGTCACTCAATCTTTATAGCAGTCTTTTGAAAGTGAGATGAAGAAACAGAAACTCGGGAAGAAGAGCAAACTCGCCGAGCTCACTCCTGAGCTGAGGGCTTAGCTGTCTCACCGGGCACCTCTGTGTCCCAAGCAAGGGTGTGTACAGACATGCCTCTGAGGGCTCCCTGTTGCTCTTTTGCCATCAGGTAACTTTTTCCTGGAATTCCAAGAGGAGCTGGAGCGAGTCTATAAGGTCTACTGTGCCAGCTACGACCAGGCCTTGCTGCTGGTGGAGACCTACCGGAAGGAGCCAGAGCTGCAGCGAGAGATCCAGGGCGTCCTTGAGGCAGTGGTGTGAGTAGAATGACCATGAGCACGTTGAACCTGGGTCAGGAGCCATTAAGCTCCCACCCCTCCTTGGTGCTGCTCGAGCTGCTTTGGGAGGGGCTCAGTCAGGCAAGGCAGGGACAGTCAGCTCTCCACTCTCGGTGACTTCAAACAACAAAGGTCCGTACCTTCCTTGTGCACCACTGCCTTGAGGCCCTTCTCTGTGTCATCCTCACTCAGGGGCCCGTGCTTGATGGTGGCAACTGTCTGGATGGTTGCCAGTAAGAGTGACGAAGGGAAAAGAGCTGCGAAGGGTCTGATGCTGGTAATTAAATGCTCCCACCCACACATGATATCTGTCACCTCTCCTAATCCATGGGCCACAACTAATCACATGGCTTCATTCGACCACCGGGGGGCCGGGGCTTCTAGCCTGCATGTGTCCCGAGGCCGAAGAGCAGAAACACTTGGTGAGCAGCACTCATGCCTGCCATGGGAAGGGCGATGGCACGGTTGGAAGTCCGTGCTCCAGGCAACAGGGGTGCAAAGCTGGTTTGTATCACCTGGGAGAGCCTCTCTGCATGTAGCTGGAGACCACCCCATGAAATGGGATCGGAGCCACCCTAGGTGGCCACGCTGCCCAGAGCTGGCCCCAGTGCATACAGGCTCTAGATGGAAATATGTAGAGAACAAATATATTTAAAAACAATTTTTTAAAATATTTTATTCATTTTTGAGAGAGTGAGAGAGAGTGAGACAGAGCGTGAGCAGGGGAAGGGCAGAGAGAGGGGGAGACACAGAGTCTAAAGCAGGCTCCAGGCTCTGAACTGTCAGCACAGAGCCCAATGTGGGGCTTGAACTCACGAACAGTGAGCTCGTGACCTGAGCCGAAGTTGGATGCTTAACCGACTGAGCCACCCAGGTGCCCCTAATATATTTTTTTAATTAAAATTTTGAATGGATAAGTTACATGGTCCAGAAGCTTTAAAGCAGCCACATTTAGGCAGCAAAAAAAATCTTCCCAGCCCTGTCCCTTCATCTACCCAAGTACTACTCCCAGCCCTGTTAAGGTGGCCACTTTTAAATTGCTCATGGATCCTTGCAAAGTTCCTATATGCATACACACGCAAGTACAAATATATACCCTTATTTTACTGCCTTTTAAAAGAACATTTGTATTTTTTTTCACTGACAACATATCCTGCATATTCTTCCATTTCTTTTTTTTTTTTTTTTTTTTTAATGTTTTTATTTATTTCTAGGAGAGAGAAAGAGAGACAGCGTGAGCGGGGGAGGGTCAGAGAGAGAGGGAGTCACAGACTGAAACAGGCTTCAGGCTCTGAGCTGGCAGTCAGCACAGAGCCCGATGCGGGGCCCAAACCCACGAACTGCAAGATCATGACCTAAGCGAAAGTCGGACGCTTAACCGACTAAGCCCCCCAGGTGCCCCAATATTCTTCCATTTCAATACATGCATGTGGGATCCTGTGAATGTCATCCACCACATGGCTGTTTCCCAGTTCATTTAACTGGTCTCTATTTTCTAAAAATATTTATGTTGAGTGAAAGAGAGAGAGATGGAGTGAGAGAGCATGGAGAAGGAGAATGGCAGAGAGAGAGAATCCCGAGCAGGCTCCACAGTGTCAGCACAGAGCCCAACACGGGGCTCGATCTCACAAACTGTGAGATCATGACCTGAGCTGAAATAAAGATTCAGACATTTGACTGACTGAGCCATCAGGCACCCCTAATTGGTCTCTATTAACGGGCATTTGTTCATTTCTTTTCTTTTGATGTTAAGGGTAGTGTATGACATGTGAGCATATGTCATTTTACTCAAGTACAAGTATTTCTGGGAGGTGAATTCCAGACATGGATTGCTAGGTCAAAGAAATTATGTGTGGATTATTTTCATAATATTGCAAAATTTCCTTCTATAAAGGCTATACCAAGTTACATTCCTATGACCAAGGTAGGGGTGCCTGTTTCCTCATAGTCTCACCAGACTGTGTTCTTAAACAAACTGCTCATGCACTCTCTCTCTCAAAAATAAATAAACATTAAAAAAAATCAATACAATAGCCCAATTCTAATAAAAGGGAGAAGTAAAAGGAAAATAATGTCCAATAAAGTTATATGGCTTTCAGTGTGCAAACACTTGGGCACCACTACCCTAGAAAATCTAATGGAGCAATCAGATACTGGCACCCACTTATAATAAAATAAGTTTGGATTTAAGGAGAGGAAAGTCAGAAGCCATCCTGCATAAGAAATATGGGAAAAGGAGAGAGCAGAGAGAATGTGCGTCCCCTACAATGACGAGTAGCAATGATAGCAAAGTCGACTTCCCTGTGTATGATAAGAAAAAGAAGGAAGTGACATAGGTGACGTAGGGGGCAGAGCAAGTGAGGAAGTGTGACGTTCTTGCAGATGATCTGGGTCTCGTTTCCGAAAGGTAGCGTCATAAGAATTTCCGGCATTGTGGTAGGTGACTAGATGGAGTTCAAGGATCACTAAAAGATCTCAGTTCTGGGAATCACAGCACATTTTGAGGCATTCCGTCAGTCTCTGAATGTTCAGAGGGATGTAGGAGACACAGCAGTGCTCCTCACTGTGCTGACAGTCCTTGCAGATGTCCTGTGTCCCTGGTCCCTGCCCACTAAGCTCCTGTAGCTGCCTGGTGCCCGCAGGTTTCCACAGTGTCCTCAGGGAGAGCCTCTGGTCCAGTGGTGTGCTGGAAATGCCCGTCTTCCAGTCAGCATTGCTTTCCATCTCTTCTCTCTCGAAACAATAATCCTGCCTTTTTTGTGCTCATGATCATGGGACTCTTTCTGGAGCTTAGCTGACTAGAATCCCCACACCAGCCCTAAGTGGTCCCTTCTCATCCAGTTAAGGACGGGTGATTCCTCCTAATCAGGTTCTTTGTGATTCCAAAATGCATGCTGCCTCCTACCCTTTATTTGGGTGGCTGCGTGGGTGAGGTGTTCGATATACCCTGTCTCTTCTTGCAGCTCCCACCTTGAGGGCCAAGGGGATCACAGGCTCGCCCTTGCAGTAGACAGGAAGTTCAGCTTCTAATTGTACAGCTGTCAGTGGGGAGGAAGCTGCTCTCAGAGACAGATGGGTCCAGCATGAAGCACACACTCAGAATGATGGCTGAGGCAGTGTTGGGTTTCCTTCATTGGCAAGCTTGATTTGTTTTATTCATATTTATTTGTATATTTTTATTTTAGAGAGAGAGAGCGCATGAGCTGGGGAGGGGCAGAGGGAAAGTGAGAGAGAGTCTTAAGCAGGCTCCATGCTCAGGGCAGAGCCTGACATGGGGCTTGATCCCACAACTGTGAGATCATGACCTGAGCTGACAGATGGCTCAGTCATTTAAGTGCCCAACTTTGACTCAAGTCACGATCTCACGGTTTGTGAGTTCCAGCCCCGAATCTCTGCTGACAGCAGAGAGGCCACTTCAGATCCTCTGTCCCCTTGTCTCTCTGCCCCTCCCCCACTCACGCTTGTGCTCTCTCTCTCAAAAATAAATAAACATAAAAAAAAATAAATATAAAAGTAACGTGGACTACCTGGGTGGCTCAGTTGACTAAGTGTCTGACTCCTGATTTCAGCTCAGGCCATGATCTCACAGTCGTGGGCTGGTGCCCTGTGTCGGGCTCTGCTCAGTGCTTGGGATTTTCTCTCTCTCTGCCCCTCCCCTGCTTTTCTCTCTCTTTTTCTCTCCCTGTAAATAAGTAAACTTTAAAAAATAAATATAAAAGTCATGTATGCTTACTGAAAAAAAGAAATATTTAAACAATACACAGACATGTAAAGTAAAAATCCATTCCCCCTGGGTCTCACATTTTCCCATCTCTCCACCTGGTAGTTAACCTTTTCCATCCAGATTTTCTTCTGTTTATTTAAAGACAGGCAGACAGACTTTACATGCAGAAGTCTAAATGTTGCATGGATGGATGAATGGAAAGAAATGAAGGAAGGAAGGAAGAAATTTAAAGGGGCTCTGACTTACATGTTTTTCTAGAACTTACCTTTTCGCTTAACCACGGTCGTGAATATCGTCTCACATGACTAGGAATACTTCCACCGTGTTCCTGTTAATGGCCATACAGAGCTCCTTTCCAGGGCAGCTCACAGACTGTGGTTTATTTAACCAAGATCCTGCTGATGGGTATCTGGCTTGTTTCCAATTTTTTTGCTGTGATAAATGGAGCTGTGGGTAGCTCCTACGTCTATCTTCACTTGCTTGGGTTGACATTTCTGTGGGTAGATATCTGGAATAGAATTGATGGAACAAAAAGGATTTGTACTTTTCACAGATTGCCAAACTGCTCTTCAAAATGATCTTACCAATTGCTGCCACCACTGAGAGAATGTAAGCGGGCCTGTCTCCCCTTCCCACACCCGACCAGCTCGGGATTTGCTTGCTTGCCTGCCTTCCTTCCTTCCTTCCTTCCTTCCTTCCTTCCTTCCTTCCTTCCTTCCTTCCTTTTTTCCTATCTTCCTTTTGCTTTCTTTCTTCCTTCCTTCTTTCCTTCATTCCTCCCTCCCTTCCTTCCTTCCCTGCTTCTTTTGGATTACCTTTCAGTTGTTGCCTTTCTGAAAGGCTGTGTCAACATTTTTCACCAGATTACCTTAGAAAAGCTATAAACATAAAAGGCTGCTGTAATTCTGTCATGACTCCTTGATGATTATGGAGAAGAGCTGTGATCATCTCTTTGAAGACCCCTCTGAATCCTCTTATTTGTGGAGTAACAGCTGCCCCCAGGAGGCAACTGGCCCTTTCCCCATGGAAAGTAAGCCCAGAGGATAGAGTTCTGTGAATATCTGGTGACTTTTTCCATCTCCCCTGCTTGTGGTCAGCCAAGTGCTAGGAAACCCGTAGTGAGAGCAGATGGCCAGCGTAGGCATGTCCTGACAGGTAATTCTACCCTTCCCTCCCTCCCCCTGGCACCAGCTTCCTGCAGCTAATGAAGGGGCGCCCACCTGCTCTGCCTATTTTTAGCTTCATTACTGATCTTCCCTGGACATTTGGTCTGGAAATATTTTCTTTGGAGGAAGAGCCAGGGGCACTGGTACCATGGAGAGGGGGAGAGAGAATGGCTGTGAGCAGCATCTGTGAGTCCCCATGGAGGAGGCCTGTGTAGACACTGAGGTTTGAAATCCCCGTGAGCTTGCAAGGCAGGCCTGAGGGCTACTGGTCACGATCAAGGGAAGACTGTTGGAACCTCTTCCCAGACGCCATTGACTTGAACACTCTTTCTTTAAATCCCAGACATCATCAAGAAAGGGGCTAGAAATGGTCATCCATTCACCAAATAGTGCGTCTGGAAGGGATCCTGACACCTGACACCTGTTTCATTTTTTACTTTTTTATTGAAAATGCTCACATCTGTAGAAAAATGAAAGAATGTAATAAACATACACCACTTCCAAAAATTAACCGGTGTTAACATTTTGTTTCATCTATCTTTATACTAAGCCACTTAAAGACAAATATAGACATTACGACTTTTTACCCTTAGATACATGCATCCTAGACATAAAAGTTCCTGTGATTTTTAAAAAACTCTTAATTTTTTAATTTTTTTAAGTTTTATTATACTGTTTTTATTGACAAACTTTGTAATAGAAATAATATGTGCTTATTTTAGTAGACCTGGGTAGAAGAAATATTTTATATTTAATGTTGATGACTCTAAAGATAAGCCTTTTTAAAAAAATTTTTTTTAAATGTTTATTTTGGAGAGAGAGACAGAGAGACAGAGCGTGAGTGGGTGAGGGGCAGAGAGAGAGGGAGACACAGAATCTGAAGCAGGCTCCAGGCTCTGCGGGGTCAACGCAGAGCCTGACGTGGGGCTCGAACCCACGAACCATGAGATCATGTCCTGAACCGAAGTCAGATGCTTAACTGACTGAGTCCCCCAGATGCCCCAAGATAAGCCTGTTTTAAGTAAACTGATAAACTAGCTTGATTACCAAATATTGTCCCAGATCACATAAACCTGAAATTCACTTTGGTTGTTTTTATTCTATTTTTGAGAATTTTAAAAAAAGTTTTATTTAAGTAATCTCTACACCCAACATGGAACTCGAACTCATAACCCCAAGATCAACAGTTGCATGCTCTACCAACTGGACTGAGCGAACCAGGTGCTCCTATTTTTTAGAAATGTTATGAATACTAAAATTATATAAGTGCTTAATTTTTTTTAGGCTGGTTAAATAGAATTGTTTTACCAGGTAATTTTAGCAATATCTTAGAGGTAGAAAGTGCCATATATTCAAACTAGACACAATGTACGTAAATATACAGCCAGATACAGATATTTTGTAGTTATTAATATTTGTGAAAAAGGTTTTTGAGATTTGTATCTATCCCTGGAAGAAATCTTGAGGCTGGGGTCTGTATTTCGGGTAAGCGAGTGTTTTTAGCAGTTCATATATTTTTAAAATATAATTTATTGGCAGGTTAGCTAACATACAGTGTATACAGTGTGCTCTTGGTTTTGGAGGTAGATTCCCGTGACTCATCGCTTACATATAACACTCAGTGCTCATCCCAATAAGTGCCCTCCTCAATGCCCATCACCCATTTTCCCCGATTTTTATTTTTTAATGTTTATTTCTTTATTTTGAGAGAGAGAGAGAGAGCATGTGTGTGCACAAGCAGGGGAGGGGGCAGAGAGATAGGATCCCAAGCAGGCTCCCCACTGTCAGTGTGGAGCCCAATTAAGGCTCAAGTCCACAAACTGCGAGATCATGACTTGAGCCAAAATCAAGAGTCAGGTGCCTAACCGAATGAGCCACCCAGGCGCCCCTAAAACTTCTGATTTAAAAAATTTTTTAAATGTTTTATTTGTGTGTGTGTGTGTGTGAGTACTATTGGGGGAGGGGCAGAGTGAGAGGGAGATATAGAATCCCAGAAGCAGGCTCCAGGCTCTGAGCTGTCAACAAAGAGCCCAACGTGGGCATTGAGCTCGTGAGCCACAAGATCATGACCTAAGCCGAGGTCTGAAGCTTAATCCACTGAGCCACCCAGGTGCCCCATAAAACTTTTGATTTTTAAAGCAACAGAACCATTTTACTGAACAAAATATACCAAGGACGTCCAGCATACAGAGTCGTGCTGGGGACGCCACCAAGTGGATGCGTCAAGCAGGCAGGTTGACTGTGTGAGTTTGGGGCTCAGGACAGAAACTGGAAATGCAGAGCTGGGTTTGGGGTGTGCTTAAAGCCAAAGGACTAAGTGAAATCAGTAAGAGGGTGAGCGGAGGGGAGAGAAGGCCCCAGGGCACTCTGGCATTGGAGCAAGGCCAGCAGAGGAGGCCAAGAAAATGGCCCATGGAGAAGGAGAAGCAGGACGAAGGGCATCCGTGGGGCCCAAAGAGGAAACCGTTTCAGGAGCAGGGAGCAGTCAGCTGTGACTGCCGCTGAGATGCCAAGGAAGCTGAGAAAGGACATTTAGTACAGAAGGGGACTCAGGGCCCAGAAGGAGGTAAAGTGAGGACTAGGAGGTGCCCATCTAACATCTAGACCTCACACATTACAGATGAGGAAACCAAGGACCACAGAAGGAGGGTGATTTGCCTGAGAGCACACAGCAAGTTCAATGGCAGAACTGGGACCAGAACCCAGTCCTCCTGGTGCTCCGTAGGCTGGGCTTTACCTACCTAATGCCAGTCTTCTCCTGCAGGCCACAAGCTGGGCCCTCGGGCCTCAGTTTCTTACTGGTAGCCCCTCTGCAGAGGATTACCAAGTACCCACTGCTGCTGCAGAAAATCCTGGAAAACACGGTCCCTGACGCCAGTGCCTACCCTGTACTTCAGAGGGCTGCCTCTGCCCTCCAAGACGTGAACACCAACATCAATGAGTATAAGAGGCGCAAGGAAGTGGGTAAGGGCTTGGGGGTCTTAGGGGCTGTATTAGTGGAATGCTTCTAGATACAAAAAACTCACCTCAGGCTGTCTTCATTAATAAAGGGAATGCAGTGGCTCGCATAAACACAAGTCCAGAGGTAATGTGGACTTTAGGTAGGGTTTAATCAGGGTGCTGGCTCCATTTCCCTCTAATTTTCTTGTCTCTGGTCTTTACTGTGTGTCAGCTTCATCTTGAGGCTGGCCTCCCTCATGGTGGTAGTTCCACGACTCACATCTGCACACCACACCCTCTAGGGGAAGACAGGACCTTTCTCCCCTTAGTCATAAAATTAAATTGGCGCTTCACACTGATAGGACCCATTTGGGTCATGTGCTCACCTGGAACCAATCACCGTGGTTAGGGGAACACCATGAGTTGATTGGCTTGGGCCTGGCTTATGTATCATTCTTGGACCCAATCACTGTGGCCAGGGGGTTGGAGGATACAAATTGGCTTATCCCTGTTAGCAACCACCCCTTGAACTAAAGTGAGATCAGTTGCACCGGAACAGGGAGGCTGCTGTTCTGTGGAGGAGACATGAATCCCGGGGAGGCCAAGAGCTGTGTATATACCTTGGGAAGAGCAGCTAGTGGGTGGAGAACTCGGTCTCTCAGACTGTTTGAACAGAAGGGTTTGGAAAAGAAAGCAGTGTCTCAAGTAGAGCGAAAACAACCGCATGACCTACATGGTGCAGTAGTGCGAATTTAGCTCACGTTGACCAGGGCTGACTGCGATACGTCTTTCATTCGTTATCTGGGCTGAGCCTTACAATCCACTCCAGGTAAAATGAAGGCTGACAGAGCTGGTAAGAGACAGAGCTGAGTGTCAAACTCAGGCCCAGGGCTGGTCGGGGGCAGACCAGGGGAAAGTCCTACACCAGGACTGGGGACGGGTGCGTCCCAGCCTGGCCTGGCTAACACTGACCAAGGAGCCCCAGACAAATCACCTCCCACTTGAGTTCTTTACAAAGTACCTTCAGACCCACCCTCTTATGTGACCCTCCCAGGCATCCCATGAGGTGGCTGGTCTCATATGCAAATGAAGAAATGGCCCCAAGAAGTGGCGACTTGCCAAAGTCCAGCAGCTCCTCGGCCCGGGGCTCACCTTGGAGGGAGGGCTCCGAGCCCCGTGCCTTTCCTCGGCAGCTTGCCATTGTAATGGACGCGACACGGATGTCTGAGAAGAGGGCTCGGGGTGGGTGTCTGGCCAGCTGTGTCAGGGATGCCTGCTTTCCTGGGCCAGCTTTGGTTCCCATGCCTTCTCTGTCCTCTGTCGGTGCAGCCTCCAAGTACACTAAAGTGGGGCAGCTGACGCTCCGGGAGAGGCTGGCCCGGATCAACACTCACACTCTCTCCAAGAAGACCACCAGGCTGAGCCAGCTGCTGAAGCAGGAGGCGGGGCTCGTGCCCAAGGTGAGCTCCGGGGCCATCCCAGCCATCCCAAGGAGCAGGGCTATGCAGTGGGTGTGGCAGGTGGCTTAGACCCCTTTCACAGATGGGGAAGCTGAGGCTAAGGGGCTGCAGGGAGTGCCTGGCACAGCATAGCCAGGAGGCAGCTGAGGTGGTGCCCTCACGTGATTCTGAAGAGCCAGGGTAGGGCTTTCACCACGGCCTCCTGTGCTACTCTTTCTCTGGGTACTTTTTTATGCACGTAGAAGAGCTGATCTCTGGGTTCACAAGGAACCAGCTCTGAAAAGCTGTCAGCAGCAGCTCAGGCTGACCAGATACTTCCTCTGCACCAGGCATTGTTTGACCCACACAATAAAGTTGGTGTTTTTATTATGCCATTTGCAGATGATGGAACAGGCCCAGAGAAGGTAAAACACTTGCCCAAGGTCCCACAGCTAGGAAGCAAGTGAACTGGGACCCAGGGGCTTGTGTATCTGAGTTCATGGTCTGAGTACAAAACCATTGAGCTGCACTCACTACCTGTGACCATCCCACCGGGCTTTGGGGCTGGAGGAACCGGCTCTGAGGGGCGGGGCTGGGTGAGGGGGTCCCCCATGAGGACCTGGGGATGCGGGTGTGGGTGTACACTGCCTCACCCCCCAGCCCCACCCCAGGGATATTCTCAGCTCTCCCAAACTCCCCTCCCAGACAGAAGACAAGGAATTCGATGACTTGGAAGAGGGGTTCCACTTGGTTTCACTGTGTGTGACAGAGCTGAAGAACAACGTGGCTGTTTACCTGGATCATCTGGAGGTGAGGGTCCTGCAGCTAACGATGGGTGGGCTGGGCTGGGCCCCCCAGGCAGGAGGCAGGCAGGGCTAATCTGACAAGCTGGCAGAGGCATGAGCCGCAGGAACCTAATGGAGGTGGTCACCTGGTCACCGGCTGCAGGTCAGAAGAAGGCCCAGGGCAAGCATTCCCCAGGCCGCAGCTGCCAGGTCCATGGAGCTCTTAGGGAGTGAGCTTCCCACTGAGCGGAGTCAAAACTCACTGGGGTCCGAGTCCTCTAGAGGGACCTGGCCATTCTGGCACCTAGAGCAGGTGACAAACTCAGGTGCCTGAAGGAGTCGGGCAGGTACTATGATTACTGAGTGAAATGTGCAGGTGTTCAAGGCTTAATATCTAACAGGCTGTTTATGAGACTTTTCAGAAGAGTTAAATACATAACAATATTTAGACTTTGACTGGATGGATGGATGGATGGATGGATGGATGGATGGGTAAAATCTAAAGGGACAGCTCTTACTTGGCTCCAGGAAGCTGTTGCTGTTTGGGACTGTGGACCTAGAGTAGCCGGTTCTGATTTTAGGGGGGAAACCCCCGCCTGGAAATTCAGACTTTTAGATGAAATCTCATGATGTACCCATGTGAGCAACATTATATGAAAATTTAAATGCTATACAGGCCCAAGGAAAAATATTTCTATAGGCCGAACTCAGCCTGCAGGAACACCGTGCCCTCCACTGTGTGATTTTCCTGGTGCCAAAATCCTCCTTCACTGCTGTCATCGATGCTGACCATTCCATCCACTCTGTCGCTTTGCCGTGGTCTTGCTCACAGTCATGTCCATTTGTGCAAAGCAGCTTGGTCGGATGATACCAGGCTCTTTGGTTAATGGGGTTTGGGGTGGCCTTATGGGGAGTGTGTACAATGAGGGGGCTCATAGCTCCAGAGCCCTGTGCGTGGGGCGGATCCCACTGCTTCTTCCTGCTGCATCCTGGCCCCCAGCAGAAGGCTCTGGCAGCAGGAGCCTGCCACAGTGCAGCGAGCTGGGAGGGGAAGGCTCTCAAGAGGAAGGATGGAGAAGCCACGAGAGAAAAACCAGAGGCACATGAAAGACACATCTGGCTTTGCAGAGGGTCGGACGGATATTTGGAAGCATTAGGCTGTATTTCCCTAGACTCCAGCTTATGTGACAGACACGGCATTGACATGCAATCCCGTAACAAGTGTGCGAGTCCCTCTTGTAACCCCCTGAGCCCAGGAGAAGCTGCTTTTGTTGGTATGTCTTTAGCCCAGGCAGAGCGAGTCTCGGGCTAGGGGCCTTCTCCCGGCTGCAATGTCCAGACAGAACTTAATGACATTGCTTTTATCGCAATTATTCTCATGTGCCTAGTTATGGTAGATATTGCTGGGTTTCCTCTTATGGTAGTGTCATAGGTGGGTGGATGCTTTTTAAAATACATTGATACAAATAGGAATGGTTAGTTGATTTCAAGGGTTAATAGCATATGCGGAACATGGACCTGGCAGTAAAATCGCAAAGGTGATGTGCAAAGACATGAAGTTTGGGAAGTGCTAGAATAGGGACAAAGATGTTGGTTCAGCCTAAGGAAGAACTTTCTAATCACCCAAGTTGTGCAAGGAATAGGCCGTGGGCTTCCATGTCACAGTAGGTGTGCAGAGAGCCTGGACAGCCTCTTCGAGGGTAGAGGTGGGGGTTGGAGGGGGTACAGGCATAAGATGGCTGCGAAGGGCTATGACTGACTGTCTCCCCTTTGCTGCCCTTCTAGGCTTTCCTCCGCTTCAGGCCCCAGGAATACGAGCTGGACATCCCCGGGGGGCCTGTGGAACAGTACTGCAGCCTGATGGGAGACCTCCAGCTCCAGGCCTTCCCAGACTTTGTGAGTGCAGCTCCTCCTTTCCCCACCTCCTGTCGGGCAGGTGGTAGAGCCTATTAAGAATGATACTTAGGGGGCACCTGCCTGGCCCCATCGGTAGAGCATGCAGCTCCTGATCTCAGGGTTGTGCGTTCAAGCTCCACGCTGGGTATAGAGATCACTTAAAAATGAAATCTTTAGGGGCACCTGGGTGGCTCAGTCAGTTGAGTGTCCAACTTCTTCGGCTCAGGTCGTGATCTCATGGGTTTGTGGCTTCAAGCCCCACATCAGGCTCTGTGCTGATAGCTAGCTCAGAGCCTGGAGCCTGCTTCAGATTCTGTGTCTCCTTCTCTCTCTGACCCTTCCCTGCTCATGCTGTCTCTCTCTCTCTCTTTTAAAATCATTAAAAAAAATTTTTAATGAAATCTTTAAAAAAAGAAAAAAAGGAATATTTAGAAGCAGGCCCTTTCCATAGCTGTAACATCTGTGACAGCCCGGAGTAGTCAGCAGGGCAGGGCGGGGCTTCTTATTAATGCATTTTACTGATGAAAATCGCCTCCGCTTATGTTTATTGTGCATTGCTGTCTGGCGAGCAGATAAGCTGTTGAGCCCTTTATACTCTTCATCTCATTGAACACTCACAGCATGGCTCGTGGGGTAGATGCTCGTGAGAGCTCCGCTCTGCCTGTGGATGAGAGCTAGAGGATCAGAGAGGGTGACTTCCCAAGTTACTCAGATGGTCAGTGACAGGATGGGATCTGAGCCCCCAAAGATTACATTCATGATCTTTTCATGCTATACAGAATCTTTTCAGATCTGTGCATAGATGCCAAGAAGCACCAAGTACTCCGCTAAGCTCGAATGCGCCCTGTCCCCGTTTTTCGGATGGGCACATCGCGGCCTGGAAAGGTTACGTGACACGAGGTCACGGCCAGCCCGTGGGGGTGGGACCAGAGTCCAGCCCTAGCTGCCTCCCAAACCCCTTCTCCCAGTGCCTGTCCTCTGCCGCGTGCCTCCCCGGCGCCCAGCTCACCTGTCCCCACAGAAGCGGCGGCTGGAAGGCCTGGTGTGGCAGCCATTGTGTGACCTGGCTAGGGCCCTGGCCGGCCCGCACAACCTCATCAAGAAGCGTCTGGACAAACTACTGGACTTTGAGAGGGTGGAAGAGAAGCTGTTGGAGGCAGGCAGCGTGACGTATGAGGAGCAGGAGGCCCGGCACACGTACCAGGCCCTCAACTCCCTACTAGTGGCTGAACTCCCGCAGCTCAACCAGCTGGCCGTGCGGTGGCTGGGCCAGATCCTGTGCACGTTCGTGGACCTCCAGAGGGACCTTGCGAAGCAAGTGCTGCAGAGGGCAGAGGGCAGCTTGGCCCAGGTAAGGCCTCTGGGACCAGGATCCTCTGTAAGAACAGCCAGGCAAGGCCCCAGAGCCCCTTCAGCCAGCTGTTTGCAGAGGCTGGGATGCAATGAGATGGGGCCTTCCAAACAGGCCATCGGGTGCTTAGGAGAGGCCCCGGGGATCTTCGGGATCTCTGATGCTCGTTCTCCCTCCATTAATGGAATCAGATCATGTAAACAAGGGTAGAACTGAGATGTTAGGCCATTCCTGGGGTCTGGGATTCAGAAGCAGAGGAGGCTCTGCTGGGAAAATAGCAGACCTTGGGGCCAGTGCTTGGAGAGTATTAGATGTTGGTGACAGAGGCCAGAGGCCAGGCCCCTTCTGTACCATCAGGAGTAAATGTCTCAAGCCCATGCCTATGACTCCTCTAGCTGCTGCCTCCTCGTGAGCACTTAGTGGGTACCTTCCATGTATTTCCTCCCGTGATCCTCACAATTGTCCTCATTCCAAAAGGAAGCCCAGGCACAGAGGGGTTAAACGGCTTGCCCAAGGCCACACAGCTGATAGCAGGATTTGAACCCTGGCCGTTCAACCCCGGAGCCCGGGCTCTGAAAGAATGACTGACAGCCTGTTAGAAGAGCTTGCAAAGAAGTTTAGACAAACTTCCAAGGGCAAACATTGATTTTTGAAAACTGGGGCTGACGTAGGAAGGAAGGCTCAGCCGCTTTCCAGGCTCTCTGATGTCAGCATCAGAGCGGAGAGGCTTGTGGTTCTGGCCCCCGGGGCACGTCCCGCACTCCTCATACCACATGCTGTCTCCTGTGCTTCGTGGTCCCCAGCTCAGCTGCCCCCGTGCAGTGTGTTGCATGAGACGTCCTCTAAAGCATGCATGCCCCACCGCACACCCATAGCCCCCTTCCAGCACACCTCTTCAAAGTGTGACTCCAGCCCTTTGCACAGACTCCTTCCTTGGCTTGGAATGCCCCATCATCCCCCATGCCTTTCATAGTACCTGGTGTATGGAGGGAACTCCCCAAACGTGTGAAAGATGAAAACCTCTCCCCATGAAGCTCTCAGAACCCCCTCTCCCGTCCAGGAGAGCCCATCTCCCCACCTGCTCTACTCTGCCAGCCCTTCGGATGCGCTCTGCCAAGCGCTCTGCAGAGCCTGCCTTCTGCCGGGGTGCTGGATGAAGCTGTCTTTCCTTATTGAGGAGGGCTGGGACTAGACACTTGCATTCTTTTTGGCCTTCCGAGCATTTAGTACAGAGTTCTATCTCAGACACTCATTGAATTTAATTAAGCCTGAACCAGCTGCAAAAAGAAGCATTTCTCTGTCTCGAAGGCAGAGGGTACATCTGATTAGATGATCTTGTCGCTCTCTTCCCGCCCTCTAGTTTTCTCTCCAAGGCTACCAGCCCCTGGCATTCAGACTGGGATGTGCAGGACCAGGGGGTGTTACCTGATGCCAGTAGTGCGAAATCATCTTTATAAATGCAGAGAGGGGGCCTTTCCTGGTTGGGCCTGTTGGGGATGGGTGCCAGCTTCCGGTCCGTGTCCCATGGCCAATCCCCCTGGACCAGTCCGGTGGGGCCTGTATAGTAGAGCCTCAGTCTGTCTGCATCCTGGGGGTGGGGGCAAGGCTCCAAGTCAGAACCAAGGGCAGAGAGTTTGGTGACAATCAGAGAGGACGTGTCTCTGGTAGCTGTGGGGTCTTGCTCATTCCTAGGTCGCATGGTAAGAACGCTCGAGATGACTAGCAGGGCCAGGGACCCAGCATGAAGCGTTACTCATCGCTCCTTGGGTTCCAACCCAGCTGAGGCATAAAGAACAGCGTCTTGCCTTGCATGACTGGGAGGCCCAGGAGGGGATGAGCCCGGGGAAGGCTGCCTCCAGTACAGATCACGTCATCGGGGCTCTGGCCCTCGCTTCCCCTCCCAGCCCTGTGTCCTTCTCTGAGTTGGCATCATGCTCAGGCAGACCCTTTTTTCTGCACAGTGGGAGAGACAGCTTTGCATCTCAGATACCCTTACATCTCAGAAGCTAGAGGAAATGCTATTCCGCCATTCTCAGCCTTCATGTACTAAATCTGCGGGCGGGGTCTGGTGAGCCTTGCGTGGACCCCTTGTCCAGCTCGTGGGCTGATCACGGTGGACGGGAGAAGGGAGGCTGCGTCGGCCCCACAGTGGGCAATCTGGCGGGACCCTCACTGAGGGACGCTTCCTTGAAGGACAGAGAGTGGGGCGGTCAGCAGACAAAAAGATGACAACTGATAAAGACAAAAAGGCCCATCTTAACACATTGGGGCTTGGGTGTAGGCTGCAGAGCGTGCTCTGATGACAGTGTCTGCCCCACGCAGCTGCCTCACCGCCACCTCTCTGAGCCAGCCTTCAGGAAGCTGGTGGAGGATGTGCTGGGCCAGACTGGTCACCAGCTTTGCTCCTTTCAAGAGAACTTCAAGAAAGTGCTGCCGCCTCCCACCACACAGGTAAGCGCCCCTGCTTGTCCCGCAGACCGTGGGGTCCTTCACTGCCAGCATGGTGTGCGGCTCCATCCCCTATTTCCTTTCCCTCTTCCTTGCCCAGTGTTCTGTCTGTGACCTGGGGGCCGGTGTTGGGGTTCACACCCACATACACACATGCTCTTTGTGGCCAATACGTGTGTGAGCAGAACGGAGAGTAGTGAGTGAAATTGGATGTAATAGCAGGCAAGTGGCATCAACATCCAAAAGCCTAGAACACCACATTTTTTATCAAAGCTTACCCCATTTCCTCACCTTCTCACTGACCTGCATTCATTACCAGCCTTCAGGAATAAGAAGTTGGAATAACAAATCATTTAAAATTTCTTTTTGCCGTGGACTTTTTAACCACAAAAGACAGTATTTCGGCTGCATGTTTTGTAATGTGCTGAATGGAGCTGAAGTAGCTAAAGGGAGAAGGGGTCCCCTGAGAAGGACAGGCCTGGATTTGAGGAAACTGAAACTAGGTGTTCAGTCATAAGTGAAATGCGAAGCGAAGGGTCAGGAGACAGCGCCAAGATTCCCCAGAAGGGAGAAGGGGGCTCCGGAGACACAGGGGCAAGTAAAGGAGCCCAGCAGAGCGGGCCCATATAGGTGGCCTGCGCACCTGGCTGGAATGCAGGGAAGGTCAAAGATTATCAAAGATGCTTTCCGTTCCCAAGAGGTGCTGACTCTGCTTGGGCCACAGCCTTCCCCACCTCCCTCCCCCACACTGGCACTGCCCCACACGGGTCTCATGGTGGGAGTGGCAGGGGCCGTGCAACGTGGGGAGAGGAAGATGCAGAAAATCACAGAGCGGGCCCTGGGATGAATCACGGGTCATGGGAACCTTCTCTCTCTTTCTACTTAAGACACAATAACAGGGGCACCTGGGTGGCTCAGTCGGTTAAACATCCGCCTTCAGCTCAGGTCATGATCTCACAGTTTGTGGGTTTGAGCCCCACGTCAGGCTCAGAGCTAACAGCTAGCTCAGAGCCTGGGGCCTGTCTTCGGATCCTGTATCTCCCTCTCTCTCTCCCCCTCCCCTGTGCTGTCTCTCCCTGACTCTCAAAAATAAATAAAAAACATTAAAAAAAAAAAAAAGACACAATAACATTCTTATTGGGAAAGCATTCCAAGATGATGGTAGGAAGAAGACACAGAGAAATAAAAAAGGGAAACGAATGGGAACATCATAACCCCAGTACGTGTTGCAAATTGGTAGGAAGAGAAGAGATGCCCCTTCCTTTCCACCTTTGTTTCTGCCCCACCCCACCCCCCATAAATTCCTGACTTCTTTGCCTAAGGGTGCAGGACCACAGATGGGAGGTGGTCACCCAGGACAGACGCAGTCCTAGTGACATTTTTCCCTGGCTCCCCTCGGCCCCTCCAGGGAATACTGCTGTTCTCTGCCCGGGCGTCTCTCAGACTTGAGAGAGAAGGCAAATGTGTCTATACCAATGGTTATACTCAGGTTAACAGCAGCATTCTGGGGGGGAAAAGCTGCCCTGTCTCCACTTCCACCGAAGGGCCTGTTTAGAAACATCAGCTTCTCCTGGTTCTTGACCCTGGCTGGCGAACCCCTGGAGGAGGGCTAATGGCGGAGTCTGTGTGCAAATGCCCCCGTCTGTTTTCCAAGCACCTCCCCATTCCCAGAAATAACCGGATAGAAATATGGTATATAGTCAGAGAGTAAATCCATATTGAGCATTTTAAATTTCTTCTTTGTTTTACAAAAGGGGGACAGTCATCCCCGAGTCCCTTTGTGGTGATCCTTTTGCGGGAAACAATGAGCAGGAAAACAAAGGCAATGCCAGGAGATTGTCGCATGAGCGGAAGGTGCCACGAGTCATTCTTCCCAGCTAGGTGGCAGTTTGCATCAAGGCAAAGCTGCCTTCTGTGTTGCTACTGCCCCGTTTACTTACTGGGCCTTGTGAACAGTAGGTGCTCAATGAATACTTAAGGAATAAAAGACCGCACTCCCTTCTTTCACGTGTGAGGCAGGGTCTGCACATGTCGCCCTGTGCTGGCTGACACAGCGCCACACGAGTCAGGCCGGGTCGGCCGTGTGAGGTCGCGGTCCTGCTCACTCAGGCTGAAAGGGCCCTGCTGGGCTTTTTCTTGCGGGACGATTCCACTTGAGGCTGGGGCCAGACTTTAGGGCCCAGTCCTAGAGTTCTGTAACGGAGGAATTTCAGAACCTGAATTAGGATTTTAGAAAATCCCAGAAGTTCCGACCGAGAGGGGTTTAGAGGTTAAATTAGAGGGTTTTTTCTGAGATCCCTTCGGATGCTAAGAGTGTGTGTTCTTGTTGTGATCCGGCCATCTGTTAGCGAGGAGACCGTTGCCCGACTGGGGTGCCCGTCAGCGGCGGGGGTAGGATGGGCCCAGGACCCCTGGCTGTCTGCACGTGGGCAAACACTGCGCCGGCTCTGACACGCCGACTGTCTGTCCCTCCCGCCCCCCAGCCGTTCCTTCCGGGGGCTGAACGCCAGGTGCAGGCGCTGCTGAGCAAGTACGGTCCGGAAAAGCTGTACCAGGCGACAAGCAACATCAGCGGGGCTGGGACTCTGGAGCTGACACTGCTGCGGGGCCAAATTGTGGCTCTCCTTCAAAACAAGGACACCAAAGGCAACAGCGGCCGCTGGCTGGTGGACACTGGGGGTACGTGGGGGCTTCGCGGGCTCTTCCCCTCCCTCTGGGAAAACCACCCAACAGCAACCAGTGGGGAGACCCGGGCGCGGGTGTAGGCCGGAGCCTGGCTGCGCAAACCCAGGCTCGGGGCCCAGCCAGCTCAGTGTGGTAGGTGCCATGTCAGCAAGAGGAAGGCAGTCTCATGTTGCTGCGTCCATTATCGAGCACCTACTGTGTGCTGGGCGCTGTGCAGAGAAGACTAGGACCCTGCCTTGGGGACCTCACAGACCAGCGCGTAGACAGAGATGCATGGAGAGAACTTTAGCAGCTCCCCAAAAGATGTAGATACACGGTGAGGGGATGCCTGGATCCCAGCCACGTGGGAGGCGGCTCCCATCTGGGATGGGGGAGGGTCCTGTCTCCTGTGCACTGGTCCTGCCCTCGGGTGTGCTGCTTGGCTCTGGGTGCCCCGGCATACAACGGGCAGGAGGCAAGGGGCACTTTGAACCCAGGAGAAGATGGCCTGCAGTATCTTCCCAAAAGGGGCATGTGACCCACAAAGTGCGGGTGACTCAGGATTGGGTGGGGATCTGCAGACGGCTTTCCCTCTGCGGACTGCTTATTGTAATTGTTCCCGAAATGTTTTTATGTGTTTGAGAAAAACTAGGACCCGTACAGAAACCCCTATTTTATTTATACTGTTGATAGACCATGTCTAAGTTTTAAAGCGAAGTCTATCAAAAACTTTAGAAAACAGTACCGTTGAGCAGAAATCGGGGAAGGGCATTCTCGTGACTCAAGTTGAACAGCAGCCGCCTGGGTGTTACAGCAGGCCCCTGGGATCAAGAGCACGGCGTCGGAATCCCAAGCCTGCCACCTCAGTGACTGCGTGGCCTCGGAGAAGTTATGGAGCCCCTTAAGCTGTGTTGGCTCAGCTATTAGATGAAGACGAGAGTGCTGACCTGGAGGCTGGAGGTGAAGACTAGACAATTGAATGCCAGTTCCGGGGCCTGGCAGGCCCTTGGGAAATGCTGGTCACATGCAGCCATATAGCAGCCAGAATGGCGCTGGCATAGTTGCTCTCGAGCAGGAACTGGGGGCATTTGGAGAAGAGAAAGGCAGTTCCAGCCTCCTGGAAGAGGCTATCCTAGGGTGACGAAGCAGCCCTGCTCTGGGCCTCCGCTGGAGGCGCAGGGGGGCACTGGTCCCAGCACCAGTTTTCCTACCAGCCCCAGGAAGATCTTTTTATCTCTGTCAAAGCTGTTCACAACAGAGTAGGCTGCCTCGGTAGGGAATGAGCTCCCTGTTGGTGGGGGTGTGCAAGTAGAAGCTAGAAACAGTGAGTGGCAGGAGGTTAGGGATGGGTTTGTGAGGTTCCTAGATGACCTTTTCAGGTCATCTGTGGTGCTGGAAAGCTGTGTCAGAGGCATTCACCTCCATGACACGGTGGTAACTTCCTCTACCACTGAAGGTTGGGGAGGCTGGTCTGCAGCCCAGTAACGTTCTGTGTGTCCTGTAGGGCATCGAGGGTACGTGCCAGCTGGGAAACTGGAGCTGTTCCGTGGCATCCCCGGTCAGGAGGACGCCAAAGAGCAGGTGCAGCCTCACAAGGACTCCTGTCACCTGACACCTAAGCCCACCCCAGCCGTAGTCCCCTCTGTCCCAACGGTGACCCAGGTGAGTCTGGGAGAGGGGTGGGATCTGCCCCCGCGTGACCATCTGGAGTGGGGCTTTGATTTCCCTCCTATTCAGAGAGGCTACCATCCCATGCGGCCAGGGCCGTGGTCAGTGGCCACACTGGTGTCCCGGTCAGGAGTGGACCTGGAAGAAGGAACCCCTCATCCCTCCCACACCAACAACCCCTTGCTCCCTATCAGCAGGTCAAGTGGGATGCGTTCCTTCACTCGTTCATTCATTCATTCAATATTTGCCAAGCAACAAATATTGAAGATATTTGTTCAGGGGAGAGACTTCGTCATGGGCAAAAGTAAATCCCGGTCCTCGCCTTCCTCAGATTTATAATCTGAGCCAGTAATGAAAGGATCATGTGGATAATTGTAAAGCTACAGCAGTGATAAATGCCAGGGCCCAGGTGTGGGAGACTTTCAGGAAAGGCTTGTCTCAGAAAAATGATGCTGCTTCTCAGATTTGAAGGGTGAGTGGGGATTAATCGGCGGAAGGGGCTGTGCTGGGATGTGGCCGGGAAGACTCCCCAGAGAGCGTGCACCGGGAGTGCAAAGGCCCGGGGGTGTGTGGACAAGGAATGGGGCTCACGAGGAACTGAATAAAGCAGGTGTGTTCGGGGAGGAGGAGGGCAGGGGTGAGGTGCTGCCTGGGAGGCGGGCAGGGCCAGGCCAGCAGGGCCTCATGGCCTTGGGGAGGGTGTCAGCCTTCACTTCAAAGCAATGGGAGCCGTCCGTGCATGTTCACCGCAGCCTTATCCATAACTGCCCCAAATGGGAAACAGGCAAAAGGTCCACCAGTGGATGAATGGAGGGACGAAATATAGCACATCCATCCAGCTGATTATTACTCAGCCATAACAAAGAGGGACATGGCAACAGATGCTGCCACGTGGGGTGTGATACGAAAGGCCATGTGCTGTATGATTCTGCTTCTATGAAACGTCCAGAACAGGCAGACGCATAGACACAGAAAGTGGATCGGCGGCTGGCGGGGACTGCGGCTGGGGAATGGGAAGCGACTGCTGTCCGGGAGGGGGTTTCTTTCTGAGGTGATGATGAAAGTGTTCTGGACTCGGTAGCGACGGTCACACAGCCTTTGAGCATCTGAAAAGCTATTGCACGGCACACTTTAGAGAGAAGACAGTTATGGTATCTGAAGGATATCTCAAAACACAAAAAAAGTGACGGGATGCCATGGAAGGGTTTGGCTTTGCAGGGACAGGGTGGTTGAGGGAAAAACAGCTCTGGGGGGTCGCTGTGAGGGCCGGATGAGACAGGAAGGGCCGCAGGGTATACGTGAACCTCAGTAAAGGGAGGCCACATTCCCAGGTAGACAGGAAGAGCTTCACGGGTGACAGATGAGCAGCAGCAAGGGTCTGGGGGCTGAGGGTGGGAACCCAGAGGCTTGCAGTGAATAGCCCGGGGTGGGGGGTATCTCAGGCCAGGGAGGAGCCTGAAGTGGGCTGTCGGGGGGCCGCACAGAAGCCTGTGGAATCTGACATTTGCGGCTCATGGCGCATCCCTGGGAAGGCTCCAAGGGCCAGTGTCTGGAGCACCAGCCGCAAGTTGTGCATCCAAGCTGCCTCCTGCCAGACGTTCCCACCTATCAGCCAAGGACCCCCGAGGATCTCACAAGAGGGTCTGGTCCCCCAGTTGAGCCCCATCTCCACCCAGTGTGGGCAGTGTCTCTGGGAAGCCCTGTGTGGGTGAGCTCAGCTCTCCATCTTCCCATACACATCGGCTGCCTCCTCTGTTCATGGATCCACACAGGCAGGGTCCCCCTCCCCCCCATCCTCCCTTGCTCCTGATTGTTCTGGGGCTTGGCCCCAGTAACAACAGGAATGGTAAAAATCATCAGTACGGCGTGCATTTACTGAGCCCTTACTGTGTACCAGGCCTTCATCATTCATTAAATTCCCACAATTTCCTGGAGGGGAGCAAATTATTACTTCCATTTTGCAGATGATGAAACTGAGGCCAGGGGGTGAAATATGAGCCTGACAAATGCCCTCCCCTCCTGTTTTTTTCTCCAGCCTCTCTGGGTTGGGCATGTCTGCCTTCCCACCCTGACCATTTCTGTGTCACTCTCCATGTGTTTCAGGTGGTGGCAGTGTACCCCTTCGTGGCCAGAAGCAGCCATGAAGTGAGTCTGCAGGCAGGCCAGCTGGTGACTGTCCTGGAGGCCCAGGACAAGAAGGGGAACCCAGAATGGAGCCTCGTGGAAGTGAACGGACAGAGGGGCTATGTGCCTTCCAGCTTCCTGGCCAAGGCCCCAAGCCCCGCTCTGTGGGGCTGGAGTCTGCCCTCTTAGGGTGCCCTCCTCGGAGTCTGCATTGCAAAGGGATGGGGAGGCTTAGATGCTGTGACCCTGGGAGGGAAGGGAAGCCAAGAGAAGGCAAGGCTGGGAGGGGAGTTCAGGCCAAGTTTGGGTGAAGGGTGCCAGAGGAGGTGGGTGGGCCTTGCAGAGTACCTGGCCCCGCCTGGGTGAGCATGAAGGCTCCAGGCAGAACCACATGTTATGTCTGCAAAGAATGTGGTTCCCATCTGAAGTCACAGCAGCCCGGATGGCAGGTCCGATTGAAAAGGATTTACTGTAGCTTCTGGCCAATCTTACCTGTGGTTTCATCCAGCCCCGCCCCCGGGAGTGGCTCACCCACATGAAGGGCACCCGTGTGCGATGGGGTTACAGGGACACACGGGAGAAGTCCAGGACTACCTGCCCTGACGGTCCACTTCCTTCGTGGGGCATTAGGAGACACCACCGCCGACCAGTCACCTTTCATTTCTCCTCGCTGGGAGCTGAGCTATCTGGGCAGCGAACCTCTGGAAGCCCCCTTCTAGCAGGGAAGCCAGGCCGGTGGGGCCGGTGGAAAGGATCTCCGGAGATGGTTGGCTGAGCCTGGGAGTGGGCGTGGCCACGTCACAGACCTGGAATGTGTTTAGGCAAATTTAGAGGCTGTTCCGGGGAAGGGGGGATTTTGAAGGTGTGTAGGGTGGGGCGTGTGAGGCTGTTGCACACTGCTGCTGTGTGCTCTGGATTAGGGAACAAAGGATATGCAAATTCCTGAGGCAACTCTGCAGCCAGTAATCAAACAGCCTGGGGTGGAGGAGCTCAGGCGATGGCTTGGTTTCCTGTTTTTGGAAGTTGGGAGCCAGGGGGAATCCCCCTTCCCACCCCCACCCCCACCCCCCGTGGCTCCAGGGCCTGGAGGCAGCTGCAATGTAATGTCAGTTGGCTGTGAGGCCTTAGACGTAGGACCCAGCCTGTTTTCCCATCCACAAAGCAAGCTTGTGGTGAGAAAGACCTGAGGCGAAGGATGGGAAGCTGCTTGTGAATTGCAATGTGTGATATACATGTAAATTGCCTTTGGTAGCAGGAGGTGCCCAGGAGTGGTCTCAGGGTGGCCTCAGCATCACCTGGCCCAGCTGCAGCCAGGAGCGTTAGTGCAGTCGCTACTCATTCCCCGGCCCGTGCCAGACGTTGTTAAGCAATATGGCGGCCTTTCCCATAAACTCAGGGTCTACTTCAGGATCCTTCTCAACACTGCGTTCTAGGTGGCCAGTCTCTTGAACTTGGTGAGATCAACCCTTTCCAGAACCTGGAAATTGAAAACCAGTTTCTGTCCCACTGGGGCAATTTGGGGTGCAGCCACTGTTGAATCATCTGGGCTGTCACTTTGGCTAAGATAAATCTCAATGTTCACCGAAGGGGGTGGTCCAGCACAATCTTTAATACAAATTATAAATTTTGGGACCAACCCAAGTTACAGGATGTGGAAAAACTGGTGGCAGTTCTGACTTCTTTCCAAGAATATCTCCATGCTGTTGTAACTGTAGGGCCTAACGCTGTTGGCTCTAGTTTTTGAAGGGCTTTTAAGAAATACACGTGCCTGTGTGAGAGTCTGCCCCTCACTCCTCAGCCTGTGGAAGCGGCAGATGCATAACGCAAGAGAAACGGAGTCCCCAGCCCTTTCCCAGCACCAAATTCACTCTCTAAGTTGCTCTCGGCTCATTTTCTTTTCTCTTCCCTGCTCTAGTATGTCATCGGGGCTGGGGATCTGCCCAAGACACACAGTGGTGGACAAGAGGGGACATTCGGTCAGAAGTGGCCACGGGCTGTAAGCTCCGACGTGCCCCATCTGAGCTCTGTCCTAGCTTAGATTTTTTTTTTTTAATAGGCGGCTTTAGAGGTGATGTGAAATAGGACAGCCTGTTCTGTCAGGTCCCAGAATGTATATTTATTAAGTGCCATTAAAAGGGACCTGAACAAAATTGGATGTTCTGGAAGGCATAAGGGAGAAACCTGAAATACACGTGGAACCAAATCTATCTCGTGAGGGGAAAGGAAAATGTGTTCAGTAGCACACGGGTTGTGGTTTCTCATAGATAAGAGGATGAGATTAAAAGTCACTGGCAAGTAAGAAACTGCCTGTTGAAAGATAGAGAATAGCTGGAACTTTCTCCAGGGGACTCTGTGATGTGCCTTTTTTCCCCAAATGCCCAGATCCATTGCACTGTGTCTTATTTATTTCCTGGTGGGGCTGTCACCTGTTCACCTTGCTAAGGTGATTTGCCTGTGGACCAGACAAGACTGATTCACGAGGGTGGCCCTTGCTCCCTGCGACAGAGGGCATCCACGTTAACCTTCCGGGCCCAAACCCAGTTTTGAACGTGAGGATGAGATGACAGTACCAAGGAAAGATGAATGGATTCTTGCTTACTCTAAGGACCTCTCGCTTGGCGAATCAATGATGTGGTCTGCTGAGAATAAAGGACTTCAAAGATGAAAATGTGTCTGGGGTTTGTGGGACTCACACCACTGGATGGTCAGACGCCGCAGCATGACCTGTGCACACTTGATACCCGATTTTCATAAAAACAGAGCCTCGTTTGCTCCTGGGTTCCCTTCGTGAGTGTCTACCACACACCTCTGGTGCCTCCAGGAGGTGGCCTTAGCTGCTGGGATACGGCGAGAAGTCAGACAGATGGGGGCCCTGTGCTCCCAAAGCCCACAGTCTGGGGAGGGAGGCAGACAAATCGGTAGTCTGTTAACATGCGGTGTAAGTGTTAGGATAGGGCACTGGGGGGGGTCAGCCCCTGAGACCTGGCAGCTAAGGAAGCAGTGATGTCCGAGCTGAGTCTCGATGGGTAACTTGGGTTGGGCAAGGGAGGGAGGGCACATGCCAAGGCCCTGGGGTAAGCATGAGCATGTTTCATCAGGGACCTGAAAGGCTGTAGAGCTAGGACACACGGTGTGTAGAGGAGTGCTGGTGCAGGGGGAGTTGGCAGAGAGGGGTCAGCGGGAGAAGGGGCCCTGGCTTGTGCTCGGAAGGCCGTGGAGAGCCACTGAAGGGACTGAAGTAGAGGAGTGACCTGCCCAGAGTCATATTTACGGGCACAAGCTCTAGTTCATTCTGGAATTTTCCCCAAGGTCCTGTCACACTGTTGCTTACATAAACACCGCAGAGGGGATGGGAGGCCCGCATCCAGGGAATCTCCGGGCCAGTGGGAGAAGCGAGACACACAGGCGTCGGGCTGCTACCTGGTACGGCAGGGCAAGATGCCGTCAGTCCCAGAGGGAGACTATGGACCAGGCTTGTAGGCGCTCAGACAGGAGGGCGTTCTGGGGGCGCTGAGGTGCTCAGGGAGGCTTCCTGGAGGACACGGGGCAGAGGTCGGGCTCTGTGGGATCAGTGGGATTGGGGAAAGCAAAAGGGAAAGAGAGGCCCTCTCAGGCCTGGGGAGCTGGCATGGTGGTGTGAAAAGTGCCCGGGGCCTGAGAAGGCCTCTCTTTCCCTTTCGCCTGGGGCCTTACGAATCCTGAGTTCAAGGCCTCCTTGACCACAGGCAAGTAGCAAATGCACTTATCATGTTTCTGCATGTGAAAAAATTTGGTGAGGCTGCCCAGCCTGCCTTATCCTCACCACTCGGCCCCAAAAGTACTCATCGTAGAGTCCTGCCTCATCCCAAGGAGTCCCTGGCTCCTTCCACCAGGACCTCACTTCCAGCATGGAAGTCACTAGAGGGCCTGTTATGACAGGGCCAAGCCTAAAGTACCCTGGACCGGAGTTACGGAAAAAGATGGATCCCACTTCTGGCAACATCAGGAAGAGCAGGTAACCTAACAATGCATTCACTTGAAATTGCTCATCTGTTTTTGTGTGTGTGTGTGTTTATTTATTTTTGAGAGAGAAAGGGAGAGCCAGGGAGGGACCTAGGAGACAGAATCTAAAGCAGGCTCCACACTGTCTGTGCAAAGCCTGACACGGGACTTGAACTCACAAACCAGAAAATCATGACCTGAGCAGAAGTTGGAGGCTCAAGTGACTGAGCCACCAAGGCGCCCCTCATGTTTGCTTATTGTAATTTCTGAACTTGGCTTTTCTGTTTTCTCATCTGTAAAATGGGTGCAATCCCTGGTCTCGCAGGGTGCTGGGGGAGAATGTTAAATGGAACAGTCCTGTGACGGCTCACAGATCACCCATCAGGAGGCTCGCTGCTGTGCCATGAAGGAAATGGTGAGCTGTGGCCACCAGGTGGGGCCTCCCGAAATGCTCTGGGGCCTCCCGAAATGCCCTGGGGCTGGGCAGATGGCACAGTGGAGAAGGACCAGGTGAAAGACCTTAGGGAGCGGTGGGGACTGGGCTGGACCGGAGCACTCACCCACGGTCTGAAGGAGCTGGCAGCTTCTTGGCTCCAACCAATGTTCCACAGAACGAGGACCCAGTGATGCCAGACGTTCTGATTTTTCAAGAGAAGCCAAAAACCAGGGTTTTGTCTGTTTTTATTTTTTGTGAAATCTGTGTGGAGATCATATGGGCCAAATCAGGGCCCCCCCACCCGCCCCCAACCTCCCGCCATTGCATCTTCTGCCTGAGTGTGGATTGACTGTCGTGGGTGGAGAATCTTCTCTGAAGTATTAGTGTCATCTCTTTATACTTCCTGTGAAATGCCTTCATGTGTCTCTGCTTCACTCAGACATTCGTCCCCCTTCCCTGGATCTCTGGGAGCTTTGTTCCCTTTTATACTAATGTTACTATCACCATGTTCAAACTTACTGGATTGTGGGCCATGTTTTCTGACCCACTCGTGAGGATCCCCATGGTACCTATCCCACAACATTTTTTTTAAGTTTATTTATTTGAGAGAGACAGAGACAGCGCCTGTGGGAGAAGGGCAGAGAGAGAGAGAAAGACCGAGAATCCCAAGCAGGCCCCATGCTGCCAGCGCAGAGCCCGACTCAGGGCTTGAAATCACGACACTGTGAGATCATGAGCTGAGTAGAAACCAAGAGTCAGATGCTTGACCCGACGGAGCCGCCCAGGCACACCTCTCCCCAAATTCTATCAAAGATTAAGTGAGATACTGCTATAAAACCACATAGTACAGCATCCAGCACATTAGTGCTCAGTAAACACGGTTAGCATCATTTTGGGGACCTCAGCAGAGATGGCATGACATTTGGGGAAAGGTTCGTGGGGCCTGCCTTTCTCCCTGCACACGGGAGGGGGGCGAGCCTTATGAAGAGGAAGCCTCCTGGCCCTGGCGCCTGAGAGCCTGGCTGTAGTTGGGCACAGTCCTTCCCTCAGAGGCTACTGTCACTGTCCTGGGATTTTCCCTCCTACGCCCTCCATGGTGCGCCCAGGGAGGGTATCCCTGGCGACCAGAGCTTGCTGGAGGCCCCCGAAGCAGATCAGGGAGCAAAGATTTGTCCTCCCGGGCTCGGACTTTCGGCTGGGCCCAGGAGCACCAGCGGCTGCTGCTCATCACTGCCGAGGCTCCGGGCAGCGCCCCTGTTTCCAGCGCATCACAGGTGGTTCTGGGTTCCCCATCCTGGGCCCACCTGCCTGTCCTCAGGGACCCGGGCATCCTTGGAGCCTGTGAATGGAAAGGGAGTGCTAAACAGTAGCCACAGATCTGGGGACAGCCCTGAGCCCTGGGAGCCGCAGCCGGGCCCCCGGGCAGCTCGCACCTCCAAAGGTTGGCCGCTTGCCTGCCGGCCCTCACCGCCATCCCCGGCCCTGCTCTGCTCTGTGCTGCGGGGAACTACATTTCCCAGGCCTCCTGCCCTCTGCTTTCCTGGCAGGGGCGAGGCGGGGAGAACCCACGGTATTTCTCCCTGTCTCTCTGCTTCAGGCAACATGTCTCCTTGTGGCTGGAACCCTGCCTCCCAGACAACCCCTCCCTCGTGGTCTCAAGTCCTGTTTAACAGACCTGGCCATGCTTCCCAGTTTCTGTCAGTAGCTTCCAATAGTGGACACTAATAACATGGCCTCTTCCCTGTGTCCCTCCAGCCGAAGGACTGGAGTGTCTTTTTGCTGTTGTTAATATCTGGGGTGTTTCTTGGACCTTCTTTTCCCTGGGTAACCTCCTCCCTCTATTAGATTTTTCTGTTCAAAATGCATGGGGTGGTTATCTTTCTGACCAGACAGTGACTGATAGGTGGCTCAGTAGCTAGGGGTGCAGTGGGGGGACCAGGCAGTGGAAATATGGGGCTCCCAGGTGACTCTGCCTCTCAGGGAAGCTTGGGACCATCTTCAGGTCTGCTGCACCTTCCCTGGGGCTGGGGACTGTCCAGCCCTCCCATCTGGAGCTCTTGGGAGTGTCTTCGGCAGCAGATAGCAGCTGAGTGGGTCACACTCCAGGGTCAGTGGCTGTGACAGTGGGTGTCCCCTAGGCTTGGCCAGGTGAGGCTGTTCCTGCAGGGCCCTAAGCAGGCAGAGGCCCAGAGGCAGCTGTATGAAGACAAAGACAGGCTGTGCACAGGGTCACCTCCTTCCAGTCACTGTGCCTGGAGTCTGGCCCTGGCTCAGGAGGGGCAGCGAGCCCCAGGTCAGGGAGTTAGGGAGTGGAGTTGGGGCTTCTGGCCAGGGAGGAGGCTGCTTGTCTTGATTCTGGGGTCTCGGGGCTTCTGGGCATATCAGCAGAGCTTCTGGCCTGGGAAAGGACCAATGTGCATTAACAGTAATCACCACAGCTTCTTGTCACAGCTCACGGGGCTGCTTGAGGGATTACATGAGGGAATCCACTTGACATGATTAATTCAGTACTGGGCACCATAGCAAGCTCTCAAGAGCCGCAGGCTAAAAACAAACAAACAAACAAACAAACAAACAAACAAACACAAATGCAAACACAAACACAAACAAATCTCACCGGCAGCCCAGCACCATGAAATTCATTCTGTAGGCATTTCATGAGCCACGCCAGAGTCCTAGTTAGGATTGAGCCCTCCCAGGGCTGGGCGCACGAGAAGGGGGTTGGGTCAGGCGAAGGAGCTGTGAGCTTGGTAGGGCACACTCTCTAGGGATGTGGGGGAGGTGGCACATGTCCAGCAGGTGGTCAGAACCCCCATGGGGCACTTGAGGACAGCTCTCTCCTGGTGTCCAGGAAGGGAAGAGATCGAGGCCGTCAGAGAGTGGGCAGTAGGGGCCCAGTCTTTGGGTTGAAGTTCGAGTGCCAGGCCCTGGGGACTCAGGGATCAGGCTCAATAAGGACACAGAGCTCCTGGCAGGAGGCAGAATTGAGAGCTGGGCACACGGTTAGAACTTCCAACACAAGAGGCTTCATGTTGAGTCTTGGGACCTAGAGGTGCTTCAAACCCACCCCACCCCCACCTTGTATGACAGCAGTGTTGAATCCAGTGGGCACAGTAGCCTGGGTTAAAGATACAGAGATGGTGGTAGTCAGGAGCCCAGGCTTTGTGTTTAAAAACTCTCGAGTTCAAACCCCGGCTCAACACTCAACCAGCAGCATGACCTCAGCGAACAAGTTGCTCCATCTCTCTAAA